TCTCGAGTGCCAAAACTCCAGAGTGATGGTGCCCCATCTTGTGATCCGAGTCGGTTTCTTATTCCAGATTGGTTTCTACGTATATGTGGCGTTCCGACAGATACTTCAACTTCTATTCATGAGATGGCGCCACGTGTAAAATCCAGTTCTTAATCGGAGCAGCAAAGCGACGTCATTACTCACTCAGACTTCTCGTCAGACAACTGTACGCGACGGTAGCATGAACTGTGTCCCGAGCTCTGCATTGATCTCTGCAATGTAATTTAAATATTAATTTAGTACTTAATATATTCTTTTGTTATAGGAGATTGTCTACTCTTATTTTCTTTAATTATATCATGCATTAAGCACCCGACCACCAAATATAGGTAAAGCAAGTTTTCAAAATATCGAGATATGTGATTCCCGTAACAGTGGCCTCTTTGATAAAAAAAAAAAAAAAAAAAAAAAATGCATCATACACCTGTTTCTGAATAATAGAGCAAAAAACATTAGTTTTGGACGAGTCTCTTTTATTCTGAACAATTTGATGTGGCTTCTTCATACTCCACATTCTAATACTGTGGCAATTGACCCTGCCACTTAAATGAAAACTAGCCCCACCACTAAACAAGAAGCGTGATAAAATTGGCACCTTGTAACATTCTGAAGGATGTTCTCCGGGTTAACATTCTGAAAGATGAATTAACAAAACTCTACACGTCGCTCTTTGTCACCTGTATGAAAAGCTTGTAGCAACTGAATCCTGTATAGTTTGAAAAACAAACCTTGCCACAAAGCACGCCAGACAGATGTTGCAGGAATGTCAAGTTCCCTACCGACACGGTGAGTCGATTTCTCGAGTTTATATGAGAAATTCTGTCGGATGCGCTCCATATTTTCGTCTGACATGTGGGGGGGGGCAGACAGTTGATTTGCATTTACATAGGTAACCCATGCTCTGGAATTCTTTATACCATCGCCTAATGCTGTGAGCAGTAAGTTATTGAAGATTAGGGTATTGTCCACCCAAATCAGGATGAACATCAAGATTTCGCTCATTTTACCTATACATTATTCATCGAGATATGCTTTTATTACCTTTCTAAGTGGATTATAAGCTAAATAGTTATAATTTGTTTTTAATCGGATGATTCATTTTGAAACACTCTATATCTGTTGTTACAAACATATCTTTGAAAAGAAGCATAAAACTACAATTTCGAGAAACAGAAAGTACTAGAAATACATCAGCGGCCAGGTGAAATTTATGTAAGGCCGGAAAGAACTTCTACGCTCAGTTGCTGATGTGAGTTATTAGTACAGCGTGAGTTCGGAGTACTAAGATATCTCCGAGTTAACTTCCTCTTTAAATGCGCTTTGCATTGCATTGTGTTTAATGTTATTAGTAGTTTGAAGTGTAACTATTGGTTGTACCCTGTGATACTGTAACACTTGTACGAGTATTTCTGAGGAAAGTTCCAGCATTCTGAAATAATTCTTTAAAAAATAAATTTTATCAACCTATCATCGGACCTGTGTGAATAAAACGCAGAAACTGTTTTAAATATACAGTAAGACCGCGCTTAACGCGGGGGATATGTTCCATCAAAGTAGAGCGTAATGCGAAACAGCGCTAAACGAGGCTATCTTTACATGTAAATATTGGGATTAGGGAAAGATGGCTAGGAAATTGGTTAGGTATTAAATTTAAAAAGTATGTTTTTTTAATAAAAATAAAACCAAACATTTATTTCTTAAAGCCCAAATTAATACCACATTATTATTTCTTGCAAAAATAAAAACAAAATATAAATAACAAAACGAATATTCTTAAAAAAACAAATAAAATTCTAAGTCAGTCATATTTAGTTAGCCTTCCGCGTTTTCAGTGTTCTGCCTTTTTGTGACAAAAGCATCTAATGTTGTTTGCCTTTTTCTTTTGCGTTGTTCTCTTAAAAGTTCTTCCTAAACGGATAGAGCATCTCTAACACCACGCCTTACTTTTGAGCTCCTGTCAAAATTCGGATCATTTTCAATGAATTGATCTATTATTTCAGTTATGGTAGACAAACTCCTTTTTACAAACGCCATCGAAAGTTCTTTTTGCTCTTCTTCTGAATCACTGCTGTCAACATTTTTGTTTTCTTCTTGTTCAGTTAATTCCTTGAGCTCATCATTAGAAAGACTAACCGCTGCTTCTTGAATTATTTCTTCGACATCTTCCACATTTACCCCTTAAAAATATGTCTGTACAATACCGCACCAAACAAGAAATACAAGTACACTCTTTCGGATATGTATTTGAAACCTATCGCTGCATAATATTTCGGGGAATCCCCGTATGCTGCGAGCGTTTCGTGGAATCCCCGGGTTGAAATAAAAGAGCGCTAAACCGAAACAGCGTTAAACGGGGTCTTGCTGTATATAAAAAAAAAGTATACCTGTAAATGCACCTATTAACAAATGCAATTAAAGAAAGTACAATACATAATCTTATTCTTATTTCTACTCATTTTTAAGGCTGAATAAAAAACACCAAAATCATACATCAAAATATTTACAACAAGAATTTCTAAATGCAATTTCAAAAGCAATTTCTAAATGCTGTGAACCAGCGAGAAGTGTTTAACTAAGACAACTAAGAACATATAGTGAACTTGAGTTTCAGAAAGCAGAGCCTCCTTTTACTCTGTATCACTTGAAGAATATCAGTAAACCAAAAAGATGAAAGTAAAAGTCAGGTGGCCGCCATCAGTCGACGAAAAAGGTTAGTGTCTGGTCGAAGGTCCAAATCAGTGAACTGAAGAATCTAGTATAAGTAAAAAATGTTAAGGATGGAGAATGTCAGATGGATATTTTTGCTTTTCTGTGGGAAATGGAGAGCATCTAAGAGAGTTGATGCATTTGTTAGGATGAGTGAGAACTGAATAGAAGAAATTTCTGGCAAGTTTTTTAATATAATCTTGAATTGTATCTACTTTGAGATCACGGTGAATATACGAATTTGGAATGAACCATGACGCGTTGATAATCTCTCTGAGTGCTTTGTTTTGAAGAACTTGGATGTGTTGAAGGCGAGTTTTGGCAGCGTGGCCCCAGACATGACTAGCATAGAGTAATGCTGGTCGAAGTATAGATTTATATAAGATGAGTTTATTAGAAACGGATATATATATATGACTTCTTCTGCCAAGAAGTGGGCACATAGTTGCAAGCGTGATATTGATTTTTTTCACAGTTTTGAGATGTTTCTGAAAAGTCAATTTTTTATCAAGAAGGACTCCTAGATATTTAACTTTGGCAACCCAGTCAATTTCTTCATCAAACAGAAGAGGTCTTCGTGGAGTGAAATTTGTTTGGCCTTTGTGAAAAATTATTGCTTTTGATTTTTCGGTATTAACTGCAATCCTCTAAAGAGTGAGCCAAGTTTCTAGATGATTGATGTAATGTTGAAGAAGGAGCTGGACAACAGTAACATTAGAAGCCTGGGTCGTAATTGCAGTATCATCAGCGAAAAGAGCAATGGTAATTTGTGGGTCCTTAGGAATATCATAAATGTAAATGTTATATAAATACTGAGAAAGTTATAGATCCTTGGGGCACTCCAGCGAAAATGTTTCTCGTGGAAGAAACGGAACTGCCAATTTTCACTGCAAAGATTCTGTTTTGGAGATAGGAAGCAATAAGTCTAATACAATGATCGGGGAAGTTTAACTTGATAGTTTGGAAATAAGTCCTCGGTGCCATACCTATCAAAAGCTTTCACAATATCAAGGAAAATGCCTCCGGTAGGGAACTTACAATTGAAACCGTCAGTAATATAATGATGACACGAAGCAGCTGGTGATTCGTACTGTGAAGATGACGGAAGCCACACTGTTCTTCTGGAATGTAGGAGCTCTGTGGAATAATTGGTTAAGATGATAAAGAATAACTTTTTCAGCTATTTTAGAAAGTTGACTGAGAAGGTGATTGGGCGGTAGTCTGGGGAAACGTTGAATTTGATGCGTTGGGAAAGACGACGATGATGGCATGTTTCCATATATTAGGAAAGTAAGAGAATTTGATGATAGAGTTGATTATCTTAGTAAGACAAGTGATGCCATTGATAGGAAGATGTTTCAACGCTTTGGTAGAAATACCATCGACACCACGAGCTTTCTGGGTTTTAAGGAGCTAATATAATCGATAACCAGCTTAGGCGAGGCAAGGAATGTAAAGTTCAAAGGACCTGGGACTTTTAGGAAGGTATTAACAGTATCATGAACTTTGGAGATATGATTGTTGTCGTAGGGGGTGTATTGGGAGTAAACGTATCTTCTAGTATATCTGCAAAGGTGTTCGTCTGAATAAATTATTCCGTTGGTACCATGAAATGGCGGAATTTGCTTGAAGAATTTCTTTGCAATGTCGAAAAGAGAATTATCTTCAATTGCGAGAGAGTTGAGGAAGTTTCGCCCGCGTTTCGTTTTGAAGTTACTAAAGTTCTTTCAAATTAATTTGTGACAAATTTTTTTTTTCTCAAGAACATGGTTTTCACAGAAATTAACCTAAATAAATTTTCTGAATTTTATAACGGACATATTACACAAATACTTCTGAAAAGGTTAGCAAAAATGAGTCCAAAACCAAAACCAATAATTTTCGAAGTCCAAGAGATTAGCACCAGGGAATAACCAGATCCGGAAATCTAATCCCCATCAAAAAGTAACATGCCTGAGGGTACTAGCAATAATTGATGTTAGAAATTTATTAAGATGCATTAATTTAAGAAGATGTTATTAAAGTAAACAATGCGATTATTTAAGATGAAATTTAAGAAATGTTAAAGCAAAATTTTGAGACGAAAGTCTGGTATAAGATTCAAATTCAAAAATAATAATTATAATTTTTAATCTTAAGGACACCAACTTATATACGTAGTTTAAAAATTAAGGAAAGAAGCGATTATTTCCTTTAACTATGCTAAAATATATAAATAGTATTTATCAGTCAACTGAAAGACAAACTAACCGTAACCCTTGCTTGTTTGTTTATTGTTTCCATGACGGTTTTAATTACATTGGAGTTTCCGATGAGTTCGTAAATTTAAATCGAGAAAAAATGAGTAAATATTCTGGTAAAAATAAACTAAACCTTAAACTTCCGCCGGGATCCATTGAGCCATATGATCCGTCTTCAGTATCTGATCCCAATAATGAGTACGTAATTTAAACAAATGTGTAATTAATGTTTCCGAATACTTTTTCTATGTGTTTATTTCAGTATATTTTTTTAAGAATTGTAATGTTTCTATTTGATTTCAGATAAGTTCTTCAATAAGAATATTTTTTGGTGTATAATTTTTTTAACCTAAACAGAGTAGTTTTTTTTTCAAGGCCACTTCTGCGTATTGTCCTCCCTTAGGAATTTTAACTAAAATTTCATGTTGAATGTTTGGATTAAAATGGGCTTTCTGAATTTTGATTAAACAAACCAGACTTTTTATTGTACCGTTTATCAAGTTTTTAATCATCAAACAGAAATTTTGTTAGATTACTGATAGCTAGTACGGAATTTGTTTAGAAACTAATCATTTTTAAATGTTCTTTAGTTATTCTCCTCGTTTTTCTTTTTTTCCTTATGTAAAGTTACAGTTTTAACCTAGATTAAAAAGACCAAACTTTCAAAAATCAAATCAATCTGAAGCAAGACAATTTTAATAGGGTAAAATTTTGTTTTGAAGCATAATATTTCAAAATGTTAAAGGAACAGTTCTTATTATGTTACTCTGATCAGTATAGACACTAGCATTGCCGACTGCCATATTGTCGGACCTGGGTTCAGTACTGTCCATTGGCTTTTGGATTGCAATCAATCCAAAAGCCAATGGACAGTACTGAAACATTGGATGAAAAATGAAGTGGTCCATTGGATTGATTGCATCCACCCGGTGCAATCACTTCGATTCCTTGCCACCCAATAACTTTCTAAATTTTACAAATTTTATCCCCCCTAAATTCTGTTACCCGGCATTTGAAACAGTTGCAGCAGCACTGGCTGTTATTAATTAATAAACTACACTAGTGTAGTTTATTAATTAATAACAATATTAAATTATACAATTTAAATTAATAACAATTAATTAATAAACTACACTAGTGTAGTTTATTAATTAATAACAGACAGATTAAATCTGAAAGTATATCTTGCATTTTTTCCAAATAACATTCTGTAATGAAAAGTGAGACAACTCAAAATTGTGCTTTGAAATTAATAGCCCTTTCCAGCTTAAAAAAAGGGGGGGGAGTGGGGTTTTTAAAAAGAACTTTTTATATTTTCATCAATATATGCCTACTTTTATGAAAATGTGTACAATTATTGCACACAACACGTAAGGGTTAATCATTTTGTTGTTCTCCTATATGTAGTTGTGAATGTTACTTGACTGCGGTTACATAATATTTTGTTGAGCATTTCTTTAGAAATTTGAAATGTGTCTGAAAACCTAACTGTCCTGTGACTCGGCTGCAAAGTATACTTTTTACCAACATACCTGCATGAATATATAGAAAGAAACTAGCTTAGTCATACTGTTTACAAAATATGGGAATGCTTACAAAATTCATGATATTTTTATAGACTAAAACTGAAAGGGAAAATTATACTAATAGCCAGCACTGAATTGTATAAGCTGGGATAACTGATCATTTTGATTTAGATCTAAGATCTATGAAAGCTTAAAAATTAGAAACAAAAAGCCGAGTAAAGCAAAACAAATAGTAAATAATTTTGGTACTATTCCGTTTTGAGGGCCGCAAAAAAATTGCAGCAAAAATGTTTGCGCAAGAGCACCAAATCTAGCAAACACGGCCATTTAACAGCGTGCCGAATCTCGCGTACGCCCTGATTTCAGATTGTGTAAGTTTATATAGTTCTATATTTCTTAAGACGCCATTGAAATACTAGTTTAATTTTTAATTCTTTTTTTTTTTTTTATATCTAGGATTTAACAATTTGGGATTGCCTATGATGAAAGTCGTGATCGATTTGGTAAGGCAGAATCCCCACTGCTTGATGCGGTTTTTAAGAATTACACAACCGGTATCCATGTGCACTCAACCTATTTTCACTTTAAAAAATCCTAGAATTGCACAAAAATACATGCGCACACCCCTAACTTATCTCGTAAATCAACTATTGTCACTTAAAAAGTAAAGAAAATTGACCAATTCAATGTTTTTAAGCGGCGTTAGCACTTTACCGAAAATGTTTTCAAGAAAAGGCATCATTCTTATAGAAATAGTTTGAACAATCAACGAGGACAGTATGCTTAGCGTAACTCGATACAAAAATTCTATAAATTAACCTTTCACTAAATTAAACATCAATATTTACGTAGTTATTTACTATTATACTTCCTTTCTTGGGTTAGGGTTGCCGCAATTACTTTTGGCAACACTGGCGTCAACAATAGTTTGGCGATTTTTTACGGCCCTCGAAACGAAATAGTACAAAAAAAAAAAAAAAAAATATTAGCTATAATGCCAAATTATGATGCATTTAAAAGCAAGGATTTGGGTAAGACCCATATGCATAAGCAAACTCAAAATTCATATAAACAGGCATGTGTTATTGATCAAGATAAGCTAAGTTTCTGCTTTGTTCCTTTTGACAGACTGAGATTGCTAATTAACAAGCATCAGTAAATAATTTAATAACCAAATAGAAGGATGGTAACATTAATAGAATGGGAATAGTAATATGGCATTAATGGACAGAATATGGATAGTAATGTCTATAGATCTGTAATGTAAGTATAAAAGTTTTACATAATATTAAGGTTAAAAATATTTCACTTAATTTATTTTTCAGTATCAAAATTTCACCTTCTGAAAAGTGTTGGTCAGTGAAATTTGACCACAATTCTGACACTGTTAGTTTCATACTTGAATTTCAAGTAAGGCATGGAATTTTTGATCTTGAGCATTGCCTTTGTGGCATGGGGACACATAAAATCTGTAGAGCTGAAAACACACTAAAGATGTTAGTGCAGTGGTTCTCAACCTTTTCTGACCCATGCACCCTTTTCACCATTGCTTGATGATCACTCTATATACACTGACTACCAATAAGTATTTGGGCACCTGTGATAGAAAAGAAAAACTAACTTTATTCAAAATCAATAGTTGGTAGAGCTCACGAGAGTAAATTACAGCAGGGACCTCCGGGCATACTTCCACAAGTCTTTGTATACAGCTAGTGTATTTTCTTCACTCGGTTTGGAGAAGAATAGAATTCCTTCACGATTTTGCATGGGTATGCACCCTGAATTCGGAGATCAACTTTCCAACGGTTCTCGATGGGTCAGGTTGGACTATGGGAGCCAGTCCATTCGATGATCCATTGGCACCATACAAGCCTTGGTTAACATGAAACATACAACTGGCATTGTCGTCCTGAAAGTAAAGTGGTCCAACCCGTAAACCTGCCACAATGTAGGACACATCGTCATCCAAAAAGTGCAGTAGGCATCGGAGTTGACTTACCATGAATGGGACCAGGGGTCCCACCCATACAGGAGAAACACCCCCGACCATAATTCCACCTCTGCCGACTTGAATGTTGGCACATGCATTCTGGCAGGAGACGTTCCAGGTAAACGCCAGACCGAGACCCGCCATCCGAACTGTAAAGGTGAACCTTGATTCGTCACTCCAAAGAACCCGTTTCCACTGATCTATGGTCCAATTCGTGTGCTTTTGCACCCACATTAACCGAGCAGCGTGGTTGGATTGTGATCAAAGCTTATGGGCAGCAGCACGACCATGAAAACAAGCAGATGTGCTTCCTTACGGATGGTATTCATTGAACAATACTCCGATGCCTGTTGAAACTCCTCGCATATGAGGACGCATGGTGGGTGCGTTCTTCTGAATTTCTCTGGCCGCACTCGCCTTCTCTCCCAGTTTGTTTGGTCTGCTGACTCGGGGCACATTCCGACAATCACCTCTCACCTTTCACTTCTTAATCACATAGTCCACTGTCGTTTGGGTACTCAATTGCAGATATGTCCCTTAAGGATTGGCCACATTTGATACCCGATAATTATACCTTTCTCGAATCAGAGAGCTCCGAACTGCGAGGCATTTTGCATATACTAAAGCCCATGCTTTCCTACCGATATATACCGCGGGTCGTGACGTACCTTAGAACCGCAGATATCGTCATTTGCATAGGTGTCCAAATACTTATTGGTCGTCAGTGTAGCAAACATACATTTATTTAAATTTATATTTTTTAAATGTGTTTTATAAATTAAATAAGAAAAAAGTATGGGAAATGTTGATAAATACCAAACCTTGAATAAAAGTAGTTTTTTATGTTCATAAATTAAAACTAAATCTTTAACAGGTAATAAAAGGCTGACCACATCCCTCCCTGAAACTATTAAAATCCCCATCCCATCCCAATTGAGAACCTGTACATTAGTGACAGGAGTGAAGAGTATGAGGAATTGATGGATTGAAGAAATACTGGAAGAATTAAAATCTTCTATGTTCTTCAGAATATAATTAGAAAATAGTTTTCAGAATTACAGTCCGCAAGCTCAGAAAACTGTGAAGAATTTCATATTTTGTTAATTTTCTTTTACGTACCTGTCAATTGTGTATAATTTTTTTCTATTAAGAATAAAAAGAGAATTTGATTTACAATTTTTTTTTTTCCTTTCATAATTTAGGTCATTCGATACAAGTATTGAAGCTCTTCAGAAAACTTTAGATGGCTTAGATCTTGATGACCAGCAGCGAAAAAGGCTTGAAAATTTCCTTTCTCAGAAACAGAGAGTTGGAGAACTTAGTGTTGATGATTTAGAAAATTTAGGGGAACTTGGTGCTGGAAATGGGGGAGTTGTCACAAAAGTTTTGCACAAAAGAAGTAATCTTGTATTGGCAAGAAAGGTAAAGTAATTTATTATCTGAAAATTTTGTTTGAAGTCAAACAAGATTTTTAAATTGCTTGATTTCAGCACCTTATTAAACAGACTTATATGATAGTAGACTGTATTTTTTTGAATACTTTTTGATTATCCTCACTCCCACCGAAATGTTGTGAACTCACTGTCTACTTTGGAGAGCATTCACAAACTTGTTGGTGACTAATTTTTCACCAAGCTAACGCAGGAAAGGCAACAGCCCTTTTTAAAGTGGCAGTGCATTGAGAATTTCATACGGGAGCAACAAATAAATAATAAAAAAAAGCCAAGCTTTTAATAAAACATTTGCTTTTTCAAGAAATCTTTCTTTATTTTTGCATCATAGTTCTCTCCATACACACAGCAATCTGTTTTCACTTTAAAAAATCAGATAAGTGTACCAACTTTACACCTGTGCAATTTGGCATTGTGCCTAAGGCCAAAACAGACGTGTGCTACTCTTGTACCTGGGTTGCCACATAAATATTTGTTGGCAACATCGTGGACTACCACATAAATATTATGATGATAACTGTTTTGCCTCATGAATACTTTTTTGCAAATTTTCTTTGGGCATAATCAGAAAGTATCCTGTTTTCATAATATAGACATATATTTTACTGTATTTTCCCTCTAACTATGGGGATATACTGTTGACTCTGTAGATTTTCTCTAACTATGTATGATCCTGTTGAATGAGAAAGTTGACAGAGATCCCGTCAAAGTTGCAGCCATCATTCCTGCAGAATTCTGAAGGAACTGGCTTTATTTAATAAACAATCAATATTCAACCTACTTTATAAAAAGACATTCATCAATTTCTTCTATTTTCCTCTATTTCATGGGTAGAAATATATTTATCGGTGCCCCATCGCGAAAATTGGTGATTTTTGGAGGTGCAAAAATTGTTGCTACACGAAGACGAAATAACAAGTCAAAGAATTGCACAAACTCGGTATCGACCTATTTTCACTTAAAAAAACATCAGAGAATTGCACTCCCTTGATATTATTCATGTACACATTGATCTATTTTCACTTAAAAAGTCAAAATGCACCCAATTCTACAGAGAGCCAAACAAAATATACATAATCTCAATAAACTACATTTTAAATCAAACAATAAAATAACATAAAAAGGAAAATTCATCTTATGCATCTAAGCACTACACAAAGCAAACACCCACTTGCCTTATTTAGAAATTTCTGCGTCTTCAGTCTGTGGAACACAAACAAAATTTCTTAACAGCATCCAAAAACTTCCTAAAATTATCTGAACCAGAATCTGTATATCAGCGTCACTAGATAAATAAAAAAAAAAAATAAGAGTCAAAAATATCCTCTGAAGTGTCAGACTATCGGTGACATTTCTTGCATGAACCTTTCTTTCGACAAACCCATTCAAAGCCATCTGAACGATCTTTACGTTCGACCATACGCATTTCCTTTCTACAAACAGGACATTTATCATGGCTACTATGTAAACCACCGTTTATGCACCAGTCAATTAATGCTCTTTTCCCCTTTCATTCCAAATCGTTCAGAAACTTCGAATTAATCATACCACATTCAGCCATTCCACCATCTAAATCACAAAACAAACAATGTAATTCTTAACCAACACACACCACAAGCCCTTACAAATCTTTTCCTATTCAAAATTTACCGCAGTCATGCAACCGATTACATCATAATAGGGTCGTAATAATAGTTTCCATAACATTCAACTACTCAAGTTACCATAAATGAAACAACAACTTTGCGATAATACATAATGTTGTCCTTTCACAAGGGATATAATTTATCTCTCAGATTTAATAAATCTATAATTGTTTAACAAACAGAGCAATTTAAAAATTTATTTTATTCTTTGGTAATTTATCTAATTAATATAACTTGGTTTTGGAAACTTGTAGTATGTTTTATTCATGACATGTGGAATGTAGATAAGCAAAGATTTTTACCGGTATGAATAAAATGCTTCTGCTAGTTACAAAAGAAAGTATAAAATGAAAAGAAAGACAAATTGTACCATCAAAACTTAGTACCTAGTAAAGACCACTATGCCTATTGTATTTACTGTTGAAAGCCAAAGCATTTCCATTTCTTGATTTATTTTGGTAGTCTGGTACGAAATTTCTAGCATCTTGAGATATATCTGTATTTATTGTAACCAATATGTTTTGTTTATACTATTTCAGCATAATGCATTAAGCTTTCCTTTAGAGTTCCGTACATGCATAATAAATTTCAGATGTAATTAATTTTTTTAAATCATGTAGATATACTTCATAATTTTTATTTATGCAATTACAAATTGCTGTCAGATAAATGATGTAGCATATTATTATTACTATTTCTTATAATGTTTTATTCAAATGACTAATTGAAAAATACACTAGGTTGACCACAACCACATTTAAACATGAATAAAAATGAAGGATCTTTTGCAGATGACCTATCTGCTTTATCACTTGGAACTGGAATGGATGGTTAGATCACATTTACCGTGTTTTATCGTTTTCTATAGGGTTGGTGTACTGTGATTTGATGTCTAGCCATATGGAAGTTTGAAGGTAAGGTTTCTGTTACAATGCAGTTTGGTGGTGATTTCAATGATTTCTCTAATTTTGAGGCTGTTTTTATGTTTGGTTTCTCATTGATTATGGCCTTTACCCATTCAGTTATGGAGTGTGAGATGATTTTGGCTTTGTCCCACTCAATAACTGAATGGGACAAGGCCAAAATCCTCCACAAACCCCAGCATAAAAACAGCCTCAAAATTACAGAAGTGACTGAAATCACCACCATAATATAATGTGTTGTGACAGAGACAACCTTCAATCTTTCTGTATATTTAGATGTGAATTCTGAGTACAGCAACCCATAATAGGTGATGAACTTGATCAAACCATTCATTCCAGCTGTAGTTGACAAAGCAGACAGGTTGTCTATAAAAACTCTTTCCTTTTATTTGTGTTAATTCCAGTCTGTCAATGTAGAAACTTAATTAATTAAGTTATTCATATTAATCTATAATATTATTTATATTTTAATTGTTAAATTATTTTATAATTCATTACTTATGTAATTTTATGTATGTATTTTTTTAAGTGAATTTTAAAATGATATATAAATATGGAATTTATTGTATTTCTTTTAGCTCATTCATTTAGAAGTAAAGCCTGCAATAAGAAACCAAATAATAAGAGAATTAAAAGTTCTTCATGAATGTAATTCTCCACATATTGTTGGCTTTTATGGTGCTTTTTATAGCGATGGAGAAATCAATATTTGTATGGAATACATGGTAATTTTTTGGTTAATTAATATAATTATGATTATTATGCAGTTTTATTGTAGCATTTATAATGGCCTTTGATGTACATGTTAAACCTCAATTTACATGATAGATTGATCTCCACAGAAAGTTATGTAAATTAAAGTCATGCAATTTGAGTCTGCAGTTCACATTGAAAAGAAATACATGTGTAATAAATTTAACAAATCACACATGCTAGAATATAATATTTTTTCCAAACATGGTTAATGCTAATGTATTATCAGAGTTTAGTTAATTTAAAATCTTTTTGAAAACATGCCTGAAGTAAAATTCAAGGCCATGTAAATGCAAGTTCTGCTTTTCAACCATGCTAAACCAAAATCATGTAAATCAAATGCTGTATAAATCTAGGGTTATCTGCATTCATAAAATTAAAAAATTATTTCATTGTATATTTAATAATGAATATATTAAGTCTGCAAAGGTAAATTTTGTTATGGATCAATAATGGGTTGAACTTGCTAAAATGAAAAAACACGTATCTCTAAAAATAAAAGAAAAACAAAACCAAAGAATAAACAGTAATGAATCTGTCTGCTAATTTTAATATAGTTGGGATATAATTTGTTACCTATAATTTATTTTAATGATAAACCATCATGTGATGGGTATATTTAGCCCCTGTGTAGTAATTATAATAAAAGCTCAGGAAAATTTCAG